CATAACGGAGGATTTATCTGTGTTTATTCGCTGGGAGATTGAACATTACATGGTCCAATTAAGTGATGAGATTAGCACCCCCCCCCCCCCAATCGGCTTGGGATTAGTTTGCTCTTGCATATCATTGTGCAGACTCTTCTTTTCTAGACCAACAATTGTTAGGTTCCATTTTACCTGTTTGGGGTGCAGCCCCTGCATCTGTAAGACTGACACATGCCCAATTTTCCCACTTTCTTATGGTATCTCTCTTCCATCCATCTCCTCTCCGAGGCTCTCCACCAAAATCCTGAGGGTTTTTCTAGGGACATCCTCTCCCTTCTTTCCTCCATGTTTGTTGTCTTTGGCTCTGGCTTTACATATGTGGTTTTTCTGTTGTTGGAACCTTCGAGGTCATGATGCGACCTTAAATTGCATCCATTTACCATAATCTTATCTTCTGGATTTACATATGACCCCATTTCTGTGGTGATAAGTCTTTGACATGATCCCCGAGTCTTTGGAATCACGACTTGCATCAGTAAAGCTACAGTCTACCCTTTCCAACCTTGTTGCTTATTTGTCTCAGTCGGAGCCCAATATGGCACTTGCTACCATTTCCCATCCCTTACCTGTCCCTTCTTCTTGGGGTGCTTAGTCTCATCATTTTCGTCAATGATGCTTGTCACGTAACCAACAGTATCAATGACTACCTGGTGGAAGCTCGGCTTGCCGATTTTCTTCATCACTAGCATCCTTTCATCTAGGATCATTGGGTTCTTCAAGTTTTATTGGAAGGATTCGTGATTCTGTTTTTTCCCCACCTCCCATGTCTTCTATACCCATTTCCTTCCCTCTGCCTCAGGATACCATTACCAGCCAGTCTCTGTCAGAGGCGGTTCAAGAACTACTATCTCAGCAGGCCATCAAACCTGTTCTACATCCTTCACCAGGTTTTTAATTCCAGACTCTTTGTTGTTCCCAAGAAAACTGGGTACTGGAAGCCTGTCATCAATTTTTCCCATCTCAATCACTTTTTGCAATGGCCCCGTTTTACCATGGAGTCATTTCACACTCTTCAGTGGGAGTTTTCTTTGGGCTTATGAATGACCAAGATAGATGTTGCCAATGCTTATCTTCACACCCCAAAATCACCATGGTCTTGTCTGTATCTTTGGTTCATCCATCATGGAGTGGTTTATCAATTTTCCACCCTACCCTTTGGATTGGCTTCCACCATTTATGTTTTCAGTCAGGTGGTTAGAGCTTTTGCTCACCATATTCATGCTCTCAGATTGTGATTCCACCATTGTATGGATGACTGGCTTCTTCTGACACATTCTGAACTGGAATTGGCCAGCCATACTTGTCAGCTCCTTCTAGTGGCTGCTCAGGTGGACTGCTTAATCAAATTGGAGAAGTCATTCCTCCAACCTACCCAATATCTCGTTCACTTGGGTGTCTTTTTCGACACTCATCTCAGTTGGGCTCAACCTTCTCATCTATGACTTTTTTTTCCATGGAACTGTTAGTTTGCCATGCCCTTTCAGCTCCCTCACTTTCTGCTCGTGAGGTTCTATCACTTTTGGGGATGTGGTCTTCAATGACATCACTGGTCCCACACACACTTTTGCATATGCAATCCCTTCAGTGGGCTCTTCATGATCAATGGAACCTTGCTCTGGATCTCTTGTCAGTTCCCATTACCCTTCCTCCTATCCTGATGATCAAATCTGCATTGGTGGTTGTACAAGGCCCATATGTCAGGACATCCCACTTCCTTCTCCTCGCCTGGATTTACATCTTTTCATAGACCCATCACTTCAGGGCTGGGTACATGGTTCAATTACCAGGAAGCTTTGGGTCATTGATTTATAGACAAAAGATATTTGTATATTAATGTCCTTGAGCTTCTCGTGGTCCATTGGGCTTTGAATCACTTCCTTCCTTTTGCATATTGTCTGGTGATGATTCATTCTGGCAATTCTATGGTGGTAGCACATATCAATCACCAAGAGGACCTGGTCGAGATCTCTCTGTTTTCGATTGTTGGATTTACTATTTTGTTCCCACATGCACCACATTCATCTCCTTGCATGGCACATTCTGGTTGCTTTCAATCTTTTTGTGGATTGTCTTTCCTTCTCTGACCAAATATATCTGACAGAGTGGGCTTTATATCCCCTCGTTTTCCTTTCCATTGGCTTTACAATTGGTGTGGTTTTCCCCATGTAGATGCATTTGCCACATACTTCTATCACAAGTTACCCCTCTTTTGGTCCCTGGATCCTCATCTTTGGGCTCTGGCTCTCAATGCCATCAGCCAGGATTGATCCCACAAATTCCTTTATATTTATCCTCATATCCGATTACTTCATTGAGTGATCTCTCATCCATACTACTCTGTTTCGAGTCCTACTGATCACTTCTTATTGGCCATCTCAATCGTGGTTTCCATGATTACAACAACTGCAATTTTTCCCTCCAGTACCTCTTCCTTTGTCTCCCTCCATTCTTCATCAACCTTGGTCACTAATTATACCTTCAGCCATTCACGTCCTTCATCTTCATGTCTGGCTTTTATCCAGTCCTTGGTGAGGAAATCAGGTTTCTCTCATCGAATAGCTTTCCTTTTAGCTCGTTCCATATGGGATATTCCACCGACTGACCTACTGTGGCTTGAGGGTAGTTTCTCACATGGCTTTTCGACTGAGAATCTTCGGCTTATCGTTTTTACCTATACCATCGAGTTTTTGCTTCCCCTATCCTTACCATGTTAATGTGTTCCTTCCAGATTCATCATCCCCCCAGATGGCCTATCTTCTGGACTGGGATATTAATGTGGTCCTCTATTCCCTCACTTTGCCTCCATTTGAACCACTTTCCTTGTGTTCCATGTTTCACTCTTCCCTTAAAATGTATTTCCTCGTCTTCTCAGCTTATGGACATCAAAGGTCTGACTAGTTTGCCATTAACATTTCATGTACACTTTACCATCCTACCTATCTTCTCCATTATCCAGATTGTTCCTTCCTCCCTCTGTGACTAGGGAGGGTAGTTCCTCATTTTCACCTATATTCCTTCCATCTATTACTCATCTCTACCCCCATCCTGATCCAGATACACTTCTATGTCCAGTCCGTACTCATCATTGCTATATTGCAGGCAACAACATCCTTCCGTGGTATCCATTCCCGAATCTTTATCCCTTGGCAGTCTTCCTCTGTTCAGGATCTTTCCCCTTCTACCCTCACCAATTTTTTCCAGGTGTCTTCTCATCAGATTCGACACCTCACCTTTTCCCTCACATCTCGTCTTCATAAGCTATTGGAGAAAATCCTACAGTCGGGCATGTGGACTACACCTAACACATTTGTCTCCCATTATTTACACCATATCTCGGTTTCTTCTTCATTGGGTTTTCGTCTTCCACCTGTGGGTGTTCTTCAGGCTTCAGTGTGACTTTGACTGAGTAAGTTTAAATTCATACTTTTCTTTTACTTTCAAGGCCCTTGCTTCATTACTCATTATATGGATCCCTCTCTGTGGCAAGTGGTGCCTGACCAGTTGTTCATCAACTTGAAATCCACACTGTACAGCCATGTTGACTTGTGCTCTATCTTCCATGGCTTCACATGCTCACTGTTGAGATAGGATTTTCCACAAGATCGCTTGTAGGTAAATAACTTCATGATGTAATTGCTTCATAAACTTGCCCATTCTGGACCATACCACCCATGGACTGGGTAAAGCTGAAGGGGATACCTGAAGGGTTTCATGATCACCCATTGTACTGTCTCAGGTGATGACATTTATCCAGACTCTCCACCATGTTCTCACCCCCTTTCTTCTGGTGGAGTATGGGAGTCCTTACCACTTTTCAGTTTCAAGCCACTGAGGTGGTCGACAGTGGAAACATCCTCCTGAATGGGTTCCACATAAAGAGGGCTATAAACATTTAGTGCAGAGTAGGGCAGTGGTGTTCTGCATGTATAGATGGCATGATATCCTCCAATATGTAATATACACTCATAAAAGAGTGAGACGTCAAATTGCAGTTCATGATTTTGATTGGGAGCCCTCCTCCTACCCCCACATGGATGTTGGTATCCCAGGGCTAGGTTTTGGATTTAAAGTAGAACCAATCAATGTAAGTCCTCATACACCTTTATGGTTGTCTATATTCCTCCTTCAATCGTACTCATTCTGTGTTGTGGGTCACAGTGTAGGTAAGAGGAATTGTTCTGGTTCTGTCCTTTTTGCTATCCCTCATTGTAATGTATGCCAAGGATGTTGTCACTTTTCAGATGCTTCTGGTCAGTTTCGCTGTTGGGGGAGTTGAGTTATATTATATAGACATCCCATCTATACCAGATGTCGGGTCCCTGGATTGATAGATCATAGCTAACACGTGTCATGCTCAAGAGTTGGAGTGGTTCTAGATGCCCCCACAGTATGTTGACCTTGACATAAAGAGGATATTATTCTCATCCTACCCCCATGCGGATGTCAGTTTTCAGCGGCATGGGTTTTGGATGTAGTTGACTTACCGAGTACAGTCCATCAGGCCTTAACCACTCTACACCTAGGGTACATCCATTGTTTTACCCACTTTTATACTTTGTGGGATTGATTTGCATATATATTTACATGGTTAGAATCACTATCGTGCCACAGTTCTCTCCTACTTGGATGTACTCCTCTCTTTTACTGCTCTTATCTACTATTACACATCTAACGGATGGGCAAAGAGTATACCTGGTTCAGAAGTGCTGCAGTTCCCCTCATCAGATCTTTGGATCTGACTCTCTCATTTCTAGGGGTATCCTTCGGATGCTTTTGGGGGTACTTCTGTCATTCCCTCGCACTGGTCCCACCACCTAATCAATGTGGGATTCTAGCTAACCTTGTGAGAGGAGGGAACTACTACATCGGAAGTTATAATTTTCCTATAATGAAAATGTATTTTCGATACATACTTCCCTCTTCTCACACTTCCCACCCTTCCTCCCCACTTTAATTTGGTGCTTACATCTTCTGTCAAACCTCGAAGTGATAGTTTGGTAGAGGTGTATAGAGAGAGTCAAGTGTCATGTGAGTATGTCGCACTCCTATTGGTGGAGAAATGACACATGATGATTTACATGAGACATGTTGGAATCATTCAATTCTAATAGGGGGTGAGTAGAAGACATGTAGCATGCATAAAGAGAAATCTGCATATAGAGGGCAGCACTGGACGAGAATAGCTAATCTTGTGAGTGAAGGGAAATACCATATCGGAATTTCCATTTACAGATACTATTTTAAATTTTAGAATGACCACATCATAAATCTTAAGATATTATGTCAATTTAAATTTCACACATATAAAGAAATGTTTTGAGAAGTAACAAACTAAATGTTAACAATAGGCTTCTGTATGTTCTTCTTTTATTCCTAACAGTAGCCATATCTTAACTTATTGATTAGAAATACTGTAGCTGAGAATGTCAAAATTTTGTTAATCTTACAAATTCTCTTAATTTGAAGTAAGAATTAATGTTACCATAACAATAGAAAAACATAAAAAATCCTCTTTATATATATATAGGCCACAAGACAGGAATTGAAGCCAGATTAACCGGATGTACAAGAAAGACTTGAACTACACATTCATGATATTTCTAGACACAAAAAAGTGAAGGTTTGAAGTAAGAATTAATGTTACCATAACAACAGAAAAACATAAAAAATCCTCTTTATATATATAGGCCACAAGACAGGAATTGAAACCAGATTAACCGGATGTACAAGAAAGACCTGAACTACACATTCATGATATTTCTAGACACAAAAAAGTGAAGGTTTGCCAAAAAAATGTAATATAAAAATACATTTTTAAAAATTTCAATTAATAGTGTATTTTTGCAAGTTCATTTAAAATTAGCTGAAATTTTATATAACTAGAAATTGCAAGTCCAGAGCTTTTTATTACTTGTATCTGAGTACTTAATATAACTAGAATATATTTAATGTGCTAAAGTTAATTGTAATGTGAATGTACAAAAAACCTAATTATAAATTATTCAGATATGGAATGTATTATATTTAATATGGAATATCAACACAAGGTACCTAAATCATATGATGCTCTCGACTGGCCCACATCAATGATGTTATATATAGTAAGTTTTAAAGTTTTATATATATATATATATATATATAAAGTCTCACAAGAATACAGCTTATAATAGGTTAAAGTAGTTTTTTACAAATATTTTGACTTATAAGTAATGTACTCACAGGATCTGTTAGCATTGCTTTCAGGTGAGAAAATACAGCCAAAAATGCAAGTACTTCAAATATCATTAGGTTGACAGCACTGTAGCATGGGTAAATACTACTAATAGGCAATATAATCACGATCAGAACCACATATTCTGCATACAGTACCAACAGCCATGTTATTACTGCACAGATGATGCCACAAATGTCTTTTACAAACCAAAACCTCCTTCCACAACATTGGTTGTTCCTATCCAAAGCTAATGTTTCAGACATGGGTAAAGGTGAGGAAGAAAGTTGAACATGCCTTCAACTATATGAAAACAAGAAAGAAAACACTTTATATGCTGTAAATGCAGGAGCACTTAAAATATCTAAGCATAAAGTGTGAATTTTGATAATTTTTTTAGCATACACAGCAGGTATATAAACAGTCATTAAAGATAAAAACTAACACTTACAAGAGCAGAACAATAATTCATTCATCATGATTGTACATACATTGTATATAACATTATTAATATTTTCTGTAAATACTTATTCTATATAATTGATATCCTTCCTACAGTTAAAGGCAAAATCAAACATTGTATTGAAAATGATACCTTGACACACCCTAATGCATGATATAATAAACCCTTTTTAAAGTATAAATTCTGTGGTATTAGTATCTTAACACTTGCTTTCATGGAGCTCAAAAAATCATGATCAAATTGGAAGTAAGGTCAAATGACACTCTAGTTTACTAAATAAATGACTGATCATACACATCAGTCCATATTCTTAAAGAGACAAGTAGCATTTAGTCATGAAACAGAGCAATAACATGTCTTATTAAAATTCTGATAAAAAAACACTTTGTATAGTCATTTAACAAAGTTTAAAATTTTGTTGATGGTCAACATGGTTTCACCACAGGAAAATCTTGCCTTACTAATATTTAGAAATTCTCTAAATAGGTTACTGCTTATGAAGATAAGGATAAAGGTGTGGATTTGGTGTATCTGGATTTTCAGAAAGCATTTGACAAATTGCTTCACAAAAGGCTTAACAAAATGGTCTCTATAGATACGGTACAGATCTGGCTCACTGGATAGAAAAGTGGCTTAAAGATAGAAAGCAAAGCTTTGTTATAAATGGCGTTAAGTCAAATTGGATTAATATCACTCATAAATGGAGTACTTATGGGTCAGTGTTAGAACCTTTGCCATTTGTACTTTACATTATTGACATAGATGAAGGAATGCCAATAAATTACTTAAATTTCCTGATGATATTAAGGTCTTGGGTGTTGCTAACTTTGTGAGGAATAAGGCTGCTTTACAAGAAGGATATAAATCATTTGGTGAGTTGGGCAAATAAATGTCAGAGGAAGATACAACCAGATCATGCAAATAATGTGAGATAAAAGTATTGGGGGAGGTACACATACCAGCCTGCAGAATGTCCTCCAGCAGGCAATTCAAGGAAATTGAAATGTTATGAATCTGATGAGATGTGACTCACAGAAGTCTCCTCACCTCCATAGAGAGCCAAAAAGAAGCGATATAGATCAATTTTCGTACCACCTTTACAAAATAACCAGGGATAAATCCCAGGAAACTGAAGGATCTCAGTGAATAAAAGGTCATTGCCTAGCACTTCTTAAGGGATTAGTGCAGGCAACATAACACCTCGAGGCCCTCACTGGAAATAACAAACGATCGGGATTCAATTGGTCATAGAGGTGAATAATAGTGGTCAGATGAATTAATGAAAAGGATTTATCCCCATCCCTGGCTGCTAGTGTCTTAGGTAAGAAGGAACTGTCTGGGTATAGGAGGGCATGGAGAGAATGATAAAGCATCCTGTGCACATGCAGTGCAAATGACATTGACTGGTGACACCCACAAGCCAGCAGCAATAAAAAACAAACCTTAAGGGAAAGGTGATACATGAGGCTAAGGCCTCAAACCAATGTTAAAAAAGAGCATGTAATACTACCTTAATATCCCAATTAGGTAACTGAAATGGTTGTTTTGGACGAAGGACCCGAAAGAAATTGGAGACCTGGAGAGCACTGAGGACTCAAATAATTTTTGTCTCTTTGAATATCTAAAGGTAATTGATAGGGCTGCCTAATATGAGATGATTGTGGAAAATGCAAAAACCTTGTCAGAGAGCCAGGTCAAAAAATGAGTTATGGTTGGCATTTCTGGACAAAGTGGGTTCAACCTCCTTGCAATTCACCATTGTTGAAGTGTGTGCCATTTTCATTGATAAATGTCCATCATGGGACTATGCACAGACTGAGACAGATACATGGCAACTTTAGAAGTTAAACCCTGCGAAGGACTGCATAACCTCCATGCATGAAGCTTGAGCTTCAAGATGGCTGCATGTATGATGTCAGATAGTAGCTACCTCAACAGAGATGGCCAAAGAGGAAGTGGAAGAGGTGGACACTCTTGAAGGTACTGCGAAAGCAGAAACCAAGGTTTAGCTGACCAATCTAGTGCTACCAACAGAAGCTGACAAGGGATTGAACAAATTACAGCTAGTATTCTGGGTAATATATGGATCGGTGGGAAGGCATAGAGGTGCAATCCCATCCAGTCCTGACTGAAAGCATCTATTGCCAATGCCCGAGGGTGAGCTACCAGAGAACAAAATTCTGGTAGCTGAGTGGTAAATGCATCGACCATCAGAGTCCTAAATGAGAGCAAGTCCAATGAAAAACCTTGTGATTCAACATACATGCTGTCGGGAGAATACGATTTATTTGCCACCAAATTCATCACCCCTGGAACAAGGAAAGCTAATAGAATGATATGCTGGGAGTGGGCCTAATAAAAAAGATCCAAGTTAGTAAACAAAGTGACCAGGCCTGAATGCAAGATACCATCATGGAATTGTCGAAGTGAAGCATGATGATTTTTCCACTCAATAATTCCAGATCATGAGACATCACCTTTTGAAGAGCAATAAATTCAAAAACATTGATATGTAGGGAAGCCTCATCATCCATCCTTAGGCCCTGGAGTTCCTAATTGCTGAAATATGCATCCCAGCCCTGAAGTGAGGCATCCATGAAGAGATGGATCTCTGGATTAGGTGGCCGCAGAGGAATGGCCATCGTAGTATCGTTCCGATCTAACCACCATACGAGATCGAAGAGACTGGGGAATCCAGTGCATTGCTGTTCATGATCCATTAGCCACATAGAGACCACTGAAGGGATCTTATGTGTACTCATTCTAAAGGAATGAGGGATTTAAGTGATGCCAACATCCCCAAAAGAGAAAGAACTATCCACGCAGTTGGAGCAGAAGTCAGACTTCCTGTTCCATAGCATGGAGCAAAATAGGAGTCGGCTGTGCCCTAATGAGATATGTGTTGAAAAAGACACCAAGGTGGATGATATATAGTTTAAAGTGAGGATAGATTTCTCAGCTCTAATAATAAAGTTGAATAGAAGCAGAACTATGACCCCTGTACGAGCTGAGGTAAGTTGAGAAGCCATTGGTGAATGCAGACAGACAACATCAACCCTTGATTCCAATGGCTCTGGAATGCCTGCAGAAATCAAGAGTCGGAGAAAGGGGGCCTCATGTAATTCTCAGAGGGTGGCAGCTGTTAGACAAATGCCCTCCAACAACGAATCTCAACCCAACAAATCCGAACAACACACCAGAAGCTGACAATTGAACCAAGGTACAAGCTAATGATGGTCCTAACTTGTCATCAAATTGATGTGGTGATCACCAAAAGGCTTCCAACAAAAGTTGGAGAATGATAAATATCTTAGCACCACAATTAGGGTAAGACAAGTCCTAGGAAGTTGTGATCTATTCAGGTTGACCACAGACTCCATTCTGGAACTTCACATTTCCAGGAGCAGACCTCTTCTTTGGGAGTCTAAATATGCATCCAACTGGCAGTAGTAGGCTAAAGCATGTTGTTCCGACAAACGTGGCAGACAAGGCATAGCTGTCTCTTCATGTAACTCAGCAGTAAACATCTCTGCATGAACTGCAATATCAGGAGATGTAGGGAGAAATAAGTATTTGCCCTCAGACCTTTCTGCCATCAAGGAAGGTGCAGACTCAAAAGCAAACAGGGAAAACCTAAAACATCATATACTTGTTTTATCAACTGAAGAAAAGGAACAGGAGACAGCTAATCCAAATTGGCCTCATGAGAAGCCGACTGAAAAAAGGAAGGCATTGGAAAGAAGAGAATCTAAATTCTCTCCATAATGACTAGATTCACTCACAAGTGCAGCCTCAGAGCCCCTCCAAGAAACACCCCCAGATCAAATATATGTCTACATCTCAATATGTATAAGGTCACAGACAGCCTCAACTGAGAGTGACTCCCCCCACCCCTCCACTGTTGAGCAATGTGAGATAGAGTTGGGATGGGAGAGACATGATTTGCTTCCATGTTGAAAACAGTAAATGAGGAATTTATGACATATATTGGCTTGCCAAACTAAAAATAATTTTTTGTTGTTGTTTTGAAAATCAGCTCGGTAACACAAAGTACTTCCAATGGTCGTAGTACAGAAAAACCCGCTAGTGAATACTTTGTTGATAAAAAGTGATAATATTATCTGAATAAGGTACTTATATACAGTACCAAGATAGAGGGCACACTGATGTATGTGGAGAGTGTCACAAGACAGATATCACCATGGGCAATTAAATGGGGAATAAAAGACTGGAGAAAGTGAGAAAAAATCATACCAATGCTCAGATTGGCAAAGGAAGAAAGCTCTAGCAGTTAAGTAATAACTGTAGCATGAGAGGAGATAAGTATGTTTTGGAAATAACCTTAACAGTTACGGAAGAAAACTATCTTGGTGTTCTGGATGATCAGTCTCCGAATCCATTTAGGCAGTGTACTGTTGCTAGTGGTAGGGCAAATGGGATTTTATTTTGTATTCACAGAAGTATTGAACATAAGTCAAAAGAGGTTATAATAATATTGTATAGGTCACTGGTTAGAGTTAGCCAATTTAAATGATATAACTGATTACCTACAAGCAGTGATTCCACTGATTTGTACAAGGAAAACTAACTGAATAATCAGAATTACAATTAATTATAATCAGTGTTTCTGATTTTACTGCTTTTGATTATTCAAATACTCAATTGACCAAATTATGATTAAATTGATTCACTCAAGACTAATCAACTAATCGAAATTAAGGTTTCTGATTACTATTTTCAGTTATTTCACTATCCAAGTAATTAAAACATTGCTATTATATTTGTTTGTAATTAAGCAAAATGCTACATAATAGGCTATCTGTTCTCTGCCCAATTTTAGCCTTATATGTTTCTTTTTAATTCAAGTTTGTTCAGCTTTTGTGATTTGAGGGTCTTGGGTTCAACTTCCATTGCTATCACCCTGTCTTTGTTATGTCACTAATTTTGAACAGCTGACCAGAGGGAAGGCAACTGGCTGAAAGCACCTGCCACCAACATTTCTTCCTCTTCATTTTTCCTTTTTTTAACTGCTGACTAGAGAGAATGGATCTAGCTGACACTAACTGTCATCTACTTTTCTGTTTGTCCAAGCTGTGATTTGTTTTGAGAAATGCTGTACTAACTATTTATACAAACTGAATCAATTAGTGGAGCCATTAATTAGCAAATACCACTAACTGTACAGATCTATTACTGGTCAGACCACATTTGGAGTATTGTATTCAGTCTTTGACTCCATACCTTAGAAAATATATTGAATTATTAGGAAGAGTTCAGAGGAGAGCTACTAGGATAATACCTGGGATGGAAAGGTTGTCATACACAGATGGGTCAAGATCTCCAATATTATTTTCTCTTGAAAAAAAGAAGAGTTAGAGGGGATCTTATTGAGGGGTTTAAGATTGTTACAGGAATTGATAGTGTCAATGCAACATCTTGTTTTGAATACTTAATGGTAAGAATGATAGGACTAAGGAACACAGGTTTAAATTTTGGAGGGCAGGAGCCATCTTCAGCTAAGACAGTTTGAAGGTGGATGCAGTAAATTTAAGGGAGTTTAAGAGAAGTCTTGATAAATATTTTAATGATAAAAGAGTTAGCTTTCTCTTTAAATTTTAGTTTAGTGAATGGTTAGGTCTATTGGACCATCATGGCCCTTGTTGTCCTTAAATTTTGTGTTAAATATTAGGCATATTACACATAAGCATTGGAAACCTTTATTTAAACTTTTTATCAATTAAGTATTAAATTTGTATAATGCTTTGTCTTTTAATGAGTTATGCATTTACTTTGAATTTGTTCAAACTTTTTTACAATAAGTATATAACTGTGAATAAAAAGTCATGTTTACTGTAAGTAGGGATGGTGATCTCAGATGGTTGTCAGATAATAATCTCAATGGTCTGAATGCTCACTTGCTGTACAGGTGGAGGGCAAAAATAATGCAGCCCCCATCCAGTGGCTCAGCTGTATATCTGTGGACTTGTAACGCTATAAATCAGGTTTTGATACTAGTGGTGGGCACAGCACAAATAGCTTATTGTGTAGCTTTGTATTTAATTATAAAGAAGACTGCAGTACCCTCTTAACCAAATGGCAGGAGTGACTGCTAGGCATATTACGTCATCAAAAATGAACAGTGCAAAGCAGCTTCAGCGACATATTATATCTCTATCTGTATGTTCTTAAATCACTGTAAGGTATGATTAAGAAAAAACGAACTTCATATGCACAATGGCATTTTTTGCTTTAAACTTTAATAGTCAAGAAATATGAACAGAAAGTACAGATTCTGAGCCATCAAATTACTACTGTAAGGTACAACCAACAAGACATCATGAGTTAAGGATGATTTACACAGCTCTAGTATAAGTCATTTCGAATCAGTTGTACTAAAACTGTTGCATCTTTTAGGAGAGTTAATGTATAGTGAATCTAGTTCATGTGTTATTGAAACCAAATATAACTCTTATGCATACATGAAAGCAACATTGATAAAATGTTCAATTATGATCTTAGCCATGACCTATGATGTCAATTAATTTGTTAGTAAGAACCATGTTATTTTCAGCAGTATTATAGTATACTATTAAGAGATAGCTAATATAAATTGTATAAGAACATAACAAAACAAAAGATAAAAGACCATGCAACTTGCTGAGGTTGATCCTCTAGTTACTAAGAGAAATAAGTAATCAAACCAAGTTAAATGTGAACATTCACATCCAAATACTTATTTCTAGTTATTGCATTTATATTTAGCATTTTTGTTTTGTTTGTTCAAAAACATTTTAACATCATTATTTTATGAATAATTTTAAAATAAAAATATTTTTATTTTTCACTGTTTTGTGACCTGCAGTTTTGGTAAATTGATAAGTGAAAAATAATTTTATTTATGAACATATTTAAACTTCCTGCCCTTAAAATTATGTATTAAAACACTTGTAACAACAAGAATACCCAAATGATGATTCAATGCATTATAATCACTGTACATTTTAGCTTTCTTGTATATTGATTTATATCATCGCATATTCCAGTCCGGGTGATGTATAAAGTTGGCTTGATTAATATTTAAGTTATTTTTTCATTCTTAACTTACTTTTGATCAGAAATTATCAATCAATATGGTATTTAATTTTTTTAATTTCAACACTGAAAAAGATATATCTTAGACAGATTGTACAAATCACTAAGTATTTTAAATATCTGTATACACTAGCCACTAACTCTTCCATAAACCTCATATAACAAACCCAGAATTTAAGCCTCTCCTTATATCTCACATTTCTCAAGTCAGGTCTAAGGCTCAAATGCAGTAGCTTATCAAAGCACTGTTTCCAACATCCTTGCTATAATACGAATATTAAAACCGCACAACACTCTAAATGAGATCTCAACAAGTTTACTCTTTAATTCTATATTACAAAATATTTGCAGTAGTTTTTAATTAACTGTATTACATCAATTTTAAATTTTATTACACTTATATGCCTAAAATGCAAGAGGATTATTCTGGAAATGAATATATCTTCTAATGTTGTACCTATTTTTATTCAGTAAGTGCTACATAGTTCCAAGCTAGTAATTCAAACTAAAAAAAAAAAAAGATTACAAAATTATTTTTAAAAAGTGGTAGATTATAAATTTTTTTGACATTTAACTATAAAATAAGTATAATATATATATAGTTCCCTTGCTGCAATTATTGCAATTAAAACAATACTGTATTCAAATACCTGAAACAATTAGAGGGCTAGTCTATTGTGGTATGGTATATATTAATAATGATCATACAATTGATATAGTAATAGTATTCTATTTCTAACAAATCTGAAATTTAGCTATAAGCAATTTTACTGGCTATGTTAAACTTTTAGAAAGTATTTGCAAAATATGAGTATGATCTATTATTTGTAATATATTTGAGCAGAATATAGCGTGAAACTTGTGTGAATTACTGCACATGAAATAACTTATGATTGACCGAGAGATTTCAGTCACACTTACAAGTTACAATACAATAAATATTTTCTACTCTTATAGAATTACAAGTATTATCACTAGGGCTTGATATAACTATTAAAATTTCAAGTTAAAAACTTAAATATTAAAACTGAATTCTAACTTGAAGAGTGGAAATTTGGAAGATCACAAATTTAAACGAAACACAATATAACTTTTTTGGTCCAACATGTCATTGTTGGAGTTATATATTGACAACTAGCAAACTAACACTAATAGTAATAGTACTATTACTAACCAGTATAAACACTATACTATAATTATAGTAATACTCTTAATATTACTAACTAAACTAGTATACTAATACATTTTGTACTACTACTAGTAATATTAATAATAGTATTACACTACCAACTGCTACATACCACTAATGAGGTTCGCTAACCATGTTGAATTATTGTAATCACAATAAAGCCATAAAATACTCATTCAATACTCTAAAACATCTGACTTTTAAATTTATTGTCTAATGCAACTGTAATTCTAACATATTAAGTATTATATTCCACTTCAACTGTGTAATATAATAATATTTACATCATAACAACACAGTCAGTAAAGCATAAACGAAGCGCCACCTACGTATATCAAATCCAAATTTAGTTGTAAGCATTGCACTAAACTCAAATAAGTATAATTTGCAAACTGTTCCATTTACTAAAAGATGACAAATAATATCGTTGCGTCAGCGAAGTCACGTGACTAGTGTGACGCCACATTTCTAGAACTATCTTGTTCCTTCATGAATGCCTTAGCATTTACTAGATAGGGTAGTATGGTATATATGTATAAGAGGGTGACAACGTGACGCAATAATGTGTGTGTAGACAGTGAATAATTGATCTGCAGTCAGAGAGTATTATTGAGCACGTTCGTTGTTATAACGTTTGTTTTAGCGCGATTGTTGAAATTAAGTGTATCGTAAAGTTATATTCGGAAAGAATAAACCAGTTTTATTAAGTAAGGACTTGTGTCGCTAAAGTTTCGTCGGAACGAAGTTACGGAAAGTTAATTAACAAACGGTTACGTAACAATATAATGTTGCGTATCTGCTAGTTTGTTAATTTCCGGTAGAAATTCTTTCAGAGGAACTTCAGCGATACAAGTCCTTTCTTTATTAAAACTAGTTTATTCTTTCTCGATAAAACTTTGTAATACACAGAATTTCCACAGTCACTTTAAACTTAACAATCTTTATAACACAAACTATAAATCACAGTGATTCACACACTTTCCTTGCGGTGCCTATTGTTCGCTTGACTCAATTATCTCTATCTTCAATCTATCTGCATATCTATCTCTCGCTGGCATCGCATATTTCTGGCAGGTATTTTGATTTAAGCTTAATTATTTCAGAGGAAATAATTAATAATCAAGGGTGCTAGAAGATTAGCAATCCTCCTTCACCCTGCTCGAGGCAAGAGGCTAAAGTTTAATGAGTGGTCAGCGATTTAATGAGCCATATGGGCGAAGAAGTATGAGAATAAATAATTAAATGAAAAATTAATAATAATAATAAGTAAAGGGAACGAAAAAAATCTTTCACTGGCTTTATTTGCCGGGCTTATATACTAAAAAAGAGGGCGCCTGCAACAAACTCGGGCCTCTCCAATAATTCATGATCCTTCCTGAAACTCCAGCGCACATGCTCCCAGGGTCACGCGACTTACGCTGTCGTAACAAAAACAAAGTATTTACCGTTAATTTTATTTCTTACAATCAAATTGAAGCCAATTTTTCCTTTTTGAAGTTAAAAAGTAGGAATAAAAAAGAGTTTTTATTTGCAAGTAATACCAACACGATAATAATGCTGTGCCTGTTCGAGGCATTGATATAAATTTGTTATTTATATCTATGACTCGAGGAATCCGAATGTAGTGTGTTTGTGATTTGCCCTTGAAAATTACAAAATAAAAAGGTAATAGTTTTGAGTATAAGAATCTAGAAGAGACACATCTTTCATCATAAAGTCTAGTTTGAATGTAGTTCTTAAAAAGTGGGTATCGTGATGTGTTCAAGAATAATATTCTATTATTTTGCAGAATGTTTGGCTAATAAATAAAAACGAATTAAATGTTGTTGTTTGCAGTTAAGCACAAATCTACACAAAGAGCTATTTGTGTTCTGCCCGCCACGAGAATCGAAACCTGGTTTCTAGCTTTATAAATCCGCGCACATACACTGTGCCACAAGGAGACATTAAAATAACGGTGTTGGAATTTTTCTCTTAGTGAGCCATCCAATGGGTCAGTGGTATTGTTTGTTTGTTTGTAATTAAGCACAAAGTTACACAAGAGACCACCTATCGAAACCCGAATTCTAGCATTGTAACTCCGCAGACACACCGCTGTGCCACTGGGGGGCGGCTCAGTGGTAAGTCTGTAGGCTTATAACGCTAAAAAACAGGTTTCGATATCTGTGGTAGGCACAGCACAGATAGACTACTGTGTAGCCTTGCGCTTAACAACAAACACTTCCTTTGTTTTTTGGAAATATTTTGAATTATGTTTGAGATAATTATTATTTTGTAAACAACTCTAGTTAGAGTTAATTTGGAATATTGTATTAAGTTGGTATTATGATAATTGTCGTAAAGAAAATTATTGTTGTGATGATATTCATATCATCATGTTTTACTCTTCCATGACTAATATAAAACATACCGTTATTCAGGTAATTTTTCAATATGTTTGTGTACATGTTCTTGCATGTAGTTAGCATTTTTTTTTGTAAACCGGATGCAAGATATCGTACATTTGCGTTAATCCTCTTGTGCCACATACAAATGTATGCGGTTGAAATTCTATTATGTTACTTTTAGAAAGAAAGATTTGTTAAAAATAGTATTAAGCTTATTGCGATGTAATATCGCACAATGTCCAGTCTGTACCCTGAAATAATTAATATGTATTTTGAAGAGTTTCGGTTTCCTACCTCTATTGCTTGGCATGGCCTGGTGGTTAGGAATATACCTTCTACTGAACATGGAGTATTGGTACAATTTTTTGTATATAATTTCATTGACCGTCAAAATTTTTATTTTCATGCGCTTTTAATGCGGTAATTCAGTCTAGGGATATATTATTAGAAACGCATTACTACTACTACTGGGCATAGTATGGCTGCTTGTACTTTTATAGACTTTATAGTGGTTTGGCACTTTCTGATTAGTTGGATGACAACAAATCTTAGTGTAAATTTTTAACATGTGACTTTCTGCTGATGCATTTCATTTAAGCATATTAAAGGGTTGGTGTTCTTCTACTATTTGTGGCTTATACCCTTTTCCACACCGTTTCCACAATTCTTCACAATGGCTTAAATAATAAATTTCTTTGTTTGTTTACTGGTAGTTAAGCACAAAATTATCCAATAGGCTAACTGTGCTATGTCAGCAACTGATATCTAAACCAGATTTTTAGCGTTATGAGCCCACAAACTCACCTCTGAGCCACTGGAGGCACATACATAATCATAAATCTAATATATAAAGTTGAGGTGTTGTCTGTTTGTTCACACCTTTCAGCCATCTGTTGCTTATACGTTTCCACATTTCTTGATCAATCAGCACCAAACTTGACACAGTGGTGTGGGATGACATGAGGAAAGTCATGAAGGGGTGGGATTGGACTCCCCATCTTCTACATAAATAAACGTCAATATATGTTTGTATCTGTTCCTTATACGTTACCACATTTCTTGTTTCTTGATCAATCAGCCCCTAAATATAACACAGTGATACAGGATGACACGAGGAAGGTCATGAGTCCCCCCCCCCCCATTCAATTTCATATCTAATTTCGGAGAAAACTACCAAATCAGCACAACTTGGCACAGTGATGTAGGATGGTATATGGAAAATCATAATGGGGTTGGACCCAAATCTAATTTAATTTTGATAGCATTCTTGAAAACAGTATGCCTTTCTTTTCAGTACTGGTACCTTTATGTATTTCTATTGGACTTTTAATGTTTATAATGTTAAGAAAAAAATAGAAGCACAATTTACCATCCTTTGTTACAAACGAGTTTTTATTTCACCCGTCCAACGGACGAGTACTCCAGCTAGTAGACATGTAAAGAAAGAATATTAGTAACTTAACTTTGAGTTAAACCTCTTCCATGTCAGAAAAGCATATATATAGCTGATGCTTAACTTTTGGCACCTTCATATAAAAGTGCTTTTTGTAATATGCAGAAATGTCATATGTTTCTATCTGCTTGAATTTTACTGGGACTTTGAAAAAAGTTCTTTTATTTAGTTTGTATGCAGTTTTAACATAAACACGTGCTCCAGAAAGTCATTGAGATTACCTTGTTTTAGTTTAGTTGCTTTGTTTCTTCGTTCTCTAAAGTACATAATATCCATTCAGCCCGAGAGAACATCTGGGTTGAAAGGATTAGTGACTGTAATATTTTTTGCTAGCCGAATTGTTACTATCTCTATGGGTAAAGAAACTGAGTTTATCTGTTGAATTCAGGTACATATTCGAGAAAAAACTTACTTTATGGTCGTCGTGTTTAGTTCAACAGAAGTCTATTTCGCTCTTGGTTGTTTGTTTATTTGTTTTAAAGCAAAGACACGTTGGGCTATTTTCTGTGTCCACCGCAGGGAATCGAACCCCGGATTTTATCGTCATAAATCCGTAGACTTACCACCCGGAAACTGTCCATCTCGATAGAAAAAACCTGTCGAACTAATCACAGTCCAGTAGAAGTGACTGTCTTTCGTGTGCGCAAATATGCCCAGTCTCATTATTTTACAGAAATGCTAGGACAACTTAGTCATGTTATCAGGTTTTCTCCATTTCCTAAGCGAATCTGTTGTTATTAGCAGGTCTAATTATTTAATACTTGTAGGGAAATCAGTTTTACCTAGAATACATTTTCACATTCCGCTGGACAAGTTGCCATTTTACAGCCGAATAGCCTGAATCAAATTTTGGGTAAAGTATCTGCACACAACGATCGGGTGTGAACGAGCTTCAAACACGAAACTTTTGATTATAAATCCAAAGCACCAACTATAAGGTGAAATTACCTTAGTAGGTGAATCGTTGAATTCTTTCTTCTGCGTATGCAATTTCTGTTTTAATTAAAAATATGGAAACAAAGCATGAAAATCAGAAAACTTTGACAAAACAAACAAATGTGTACAGTTTAAATGTAGAAAGCTGGCAAAACATCAAAAACCAATAGGCCTAAAATTTATGATAAAAATCAAGTTAACTGTAGATGTTCCTATCCTCACATTTTTTTTTTTTTTCGTTATTGTTGCTATTTGTCCATTGCAGTATTAGAAAATCAAGCGCAAGTGAATTCTGGATTTGGATTTAGTCGTATAGTTGTGTGCGAACTGGGAGGGTCAAGTTCT